ATACGCTTATTCGGTTAACGATTTCGTTAATAACGAAATAAGTAAAATGTTAGATGAAGGTATAATCAGACCTAGTAAAAGCCCATATAATTCACCGGTAATAGTAGTACCAAAGAAGGGAGTAAATGAGGACGGAACTCCTAAGCATAGATTAGTAATAGACTTTAAGAAACTTAATGAAAACACTATACCGGATAGATACCCTATGCAAGATCCTTCAGTAATCCTTGCCAATTTAGGTAAAGCAAAATATTTCTCGGCCATTGACTTAGAGTCAGGTTTCTATCAGATTTTAATGAGGGAATCAGATATTGAAAAAACATCTTTTTCCATAAATAACGGCAAATATGAATTTCTAAGAATGCCTATGGGATTGACGAACGCTCCCAGAATTTTCCAAAGGGCAATGGACGATATACTTAGAGAACAAGTTGGGAAAACTTGTCACGTTTATATGGACGATATAATAATATTTTCAAAAACTATAGAACAACATTATAAAGATCTAATTCATATAATTCAGATATTGCAAAACGCTAACATGAAAATTTCACTTGAAAAGTCTAAATTCTTTCAATTGGAAACCAAATTTCTGGGATACATTGTTTCCCAAAATATCATTAAAACAGATCCAGACAAAATCTCCACAATACAAAACTATCCAATTCCTAAAAATATCAGAGAGCTACGTAGCTTCTTAGGACTAACAGGGTATTACAGAAAATTTGTCCGAAATTATGCCACAATTGCCAAACCTTTAACAAAATATCTGAGCGGAGTAAATGGGAAAGTTTCACGAAGGGCATCCAAGAAAGCATTAATACAGCTGGATGAACCAGCAATTGGAGCATTTAATAATTTAAAGGACAGTTTAATAGCACATATTGAATTAGTACAACCAGATTACAATAAAAAATTCACATTAACCATAGATGCATCGGACATAGCAATAGGTGCAGTTTTGTCGCAAGATGGGAATCCCATAACATTTATTTCTAAAACTTTAAGTAAAACCGAGCAATTATATGCTACTAATAAAAAAGAATTATTAGCTATTGTATGGGCATTAAAAAATTTGCGAAATTATTTATACGGAGTGAGTGGAATTGAAATACATACAGATCACCAACCTTTGTCCTTTGCAATGTCGCAAAAAAATCCAAATGTTGAAATGAAACGTTGGTATTACTTCATAGAAAGTTTCACACCAAAAATCATTTATAAGCCAGGCTCAACTAACGTAGTAGCGGACGCGTTATCTCGGATTAAAATAAATCATATGACAGATAGTGATGTCGACCAGACAGAATCAGAATCAGACATAAATACTCAGCATTCAGCAGAGAGTAGTTTCGAAAACGTCATTCAAGAGACTAGCAAGCCTCTAAACCAATTTAAACAGCAGCTACTATTAGCGCAAGGGAGATTCACAGTTCATGAGTTAGTAAGAGTTTATGAAAATACCCGACATATTATTGAATTTGATACGGTTGACAATCTGCTAATCATTTTAAAAGAATTTATTCAGCCTCACTTAACCACAGGAATACACTGCACTTTAGAAGATTTATACCTTATCCAAAATAAGCTAAAGGAAAACTTCATAAATAAATTTCTCTTCACAAGAAAGTTCCTCCAAGATGTAGTAAATTCAGAAGATAAAGCTATAATTATAGAAGAAACACATTGCAGAGCCCATAGAGGACTAGACGAAAATTACAAACAAATAACTAAGCTGTATTATTGGCCAAACCTGCACAAAAAATTAAAAGAATATATAAAAAATTGTGAGATCTGTAACAAAAACAAATATCGGAGACACCCTGTAAAAATTCCAATTGGGGAAGCTCCCATTCCAGCAAAAGAAGGAGATCAATTACACTTAGACATATACTATGCCCAAAACCTAACATTCATAACTTGTATAGATTCTTATTCCAAATACTTGGTGGTCAAGGAAATTCAAAGTAAATTAAACATTGAAAATAAGGTAATGGAAATTTTACAACACTTTCCGTTAGCAACATCATTAATGACTGACAACGAACCAAGCTTTACTTCAGCACAATTTAGATCATTCATACAAAGAAGTAACTTAACTATTTATTATGCTGATCCCAGACACAGCACCTCAAATGGTCAGGTAGAAAGGGTACATTCCACACTAACAGAAATAGCGCGGTGCATCAAGGATGAACTAAATCTAACAGATTATTCAGAAATAATAATAAGGGCGGCACTGAAATATAACCTGACGATACATTCAACGACCAATCAAATGCCATATGACATATTGTATAACAAAATAGAACACAAACATAATCCAATATTACTTAAGGAAGCTCAGACCAAAATGCTTAAGATACATAACAAAGATAGAAGAGAAAAAGATTATAAAATAGGAGAAGTAGTCTATGAAAAGAAATTCGGGGAAAGAAATAAACTTCAATCCCGATACAAAAAGCAGGTAGTTAAGGAAAATCGACCGAATAAAATTATAATCAACAATAGAAACAGAATTATACATAAAGATAACATCAAATATTAAATATTTTTTCCAGAAAATGTATGCGAATATACTAATACTGACTTTTGTTATATTGACGACTGCGGAAGTAATTGACTATACGCATAGTGACTATCTATTGCTCAAAGACGACAGAGACGTTTACACTTATGAAACATACGCTGAACTTTTCCATATTACTAATTTGAGTTTTTATAGAGAGATAATTGATAAAGAATCCAAATATGTCAACAAATCAATTAATTCAGACGATGAGTGGGAAATATCAATGGACTTAAGTCTATTAAAATTAATGATTTCAGAATTAGTTCCAAAACGGAAAGAAAGGGGAATAAATGAATTAGGTACCATTTGGAAATGGATAGCAGGCAGCCCTGATCATGACGACTTTTTGAAAATACAAAATAAAGTAAATGAATTAACTGAAAATAATAATAAACAATTTGTAATAAATTCCAAATTTTTCAAAGAAATTGAATTGCTATCAAATTCATTAAAGAATGTCATCTTCAATGAAGAAACGATACTGAGAAAGCATCGTTTAAAATTAATAACTTTTGACCTACTAAATTTAGTTGATACCATAACCCTCTTAAAAGTAAACATTTTCAATACAAAAATTTTAAATAAAAACGAAATAGAGGACATTTATAAGCATGAAAAACATAATGTTGAACTGTCTGATCTGTTGGACATTGCAACGGTTAAAATAATTCGAAATGCAGATTTAATAATCATTTACATAAAATATCCTCAAATTAAAGATATTTGCAAGTTTTACCATGCAAGAGCCATCTCACAAAATGATGGAATGTTAGTTATAAGTGAAAAAGTTTGTGAATGTAAGGAGAAATACTATTTAATGAATAATTTTAAAAGTGAAACTTTTAACAATTACGCACAAATAAATTTAAAGAGTACCTGTTTCACCAATTTACTTAATGGCTTTAAAGCCAACTGCACTAAAAAAAGGGAAAAAAAACAAAGAAATAGACATCATTCAGGATGGTGCCATATTAGTTTCAGGCAAAAATATCGTAGACAATACTACTTTGTTAGGATCGTATCTCCTTATATTCAACAACACAATTGTAATAAATAATATAAGCCACATAAATGATAAGGGTAAAATTCTAAAATATATATCGCATCATAGATATAGCGATTTTGAATTAGTTGATTATATACAATCAAATGATAAGCAATTTTCTTTTGATAATGTTAATATTTTAAATCCCCTTATAACATTAGGTAATACGGCCTTACCATTAACAACATTATTTTTAATCATTTTGATATTGTTAATGTTATTTTACTTCTGCTATAAATTAACCAAATTTGTACTTATTAAATCAATAAGAATACCGTCAGAAGAAATAGTGGAAAGCAACATTCAAATACTGTCAGAAGAAATTAGAGCTCTATCAGAACTTCAAAATGTATCGGGACGAAACATTTAAGAATGGGGGGAGTTAACGTACCCAATTCCATTGAGCTCTTATACGAGTTGTAAACAATCTTTGGCTTTCCAAAACGAAAACAATTTCAATCTTGGGCCTCCGCCTAATTGATTTCTAAGATGTACAATCTCAAGCGCCCCCGCCGCAACCCCAATCTTTGACACTCGCCTAAATGGAAAACCAATGTTTGCCCACACCCGGCTTCTCATAAACAATCTCACTCCCGGCTTTCTGCAGATCCTGCACTTTAGGCCTTTTACAGTTCTCTCTTTGGATGACGAAATCCAATACTCGGGATGGCGAAATCAATTGAAATGTTTATAGAAAAACGATTCCCGAAAGGGATCAACGATGCAAAGATCAGAAAGTTCAAATCAGTCTTGATCCAGCAGCGACACCGCAAAGTCTAGCTAAATATTAAGATCGCGCAATCCCTTGGCCCGGAATTCCTTTGTGACCCTCTACTTAAATCTATATCAGTGAAGTTCGAAGTAAAATAAAAACTTTTTAAAAACACAATCCGCTACCGCAGTTGTTTAATTCGCATATGCATTAGGAGGGTGTTTGAGGAGTCGAAGGCTTTTACTCCCAAAGTGGGCGTGGACCATGGATAGATGCTCTATGTATTTGCAAATGCAACACTCACTTTCGATTTTTGCGCACGTTTCAATACAACAATTTGTACAAATTCCAGCGGCTATTTCGGTTTTATTTGTATGCCACTTATTAATAGCACAGAACTTTGTAGCAGGTGGACCAGAGAGGAAAGTGGCCGTTCCAAGTCGAGTTATTTCAAGGACAGGAAGTCAATGCACCAGGCAACCAGTATCGGACCTGTAGTATACGCCAATGTCCATTAATACACTTTTTTATTTCATTGAATAGACGGCAGCCTGGAGGCGCACGCTCCAGCTGATAAGAAATAGTGATGGTTCATGAACGAACTGAACTGGCTCGTGAGCTGCCAGTCGCGAGCAGTGCTGCAAAGGGCAAGATTTGAACTCATTTCAACGTAATTTTTGTACAAAAAACTTTTATTGGGCAACAGAATTATCCACCTCGGGCGGCCAGTCCAGATCAATGCCCACCACATCAAGGGCCTGTATATCTATGGGTTTGCCTATAATTGATGAGAACGAAGGCGTGGTCCTGCCGAATTCGCCGTGAACCAATTCTTTGATGTAAGTGCCCGCCTGGGTGACTATGTCGATGACCAGCACCAGGGGATTGTCACGTTGCAGTCGCGCCTTTACGCTGTAGATTGTGCGAGGTCGTGTGTGCAGCGGCCGACGATGCAGGACCCTTATGGGAGTCTTCTGTTGAATGTCAAAGCTCTCGGAGATCTGCAGTTTTTGAAGCATTTCCAACGTAGCGGGCTCTTTGAGGGCACACAATGCGCGATAATATTTGCGTTTCTGCTCCTCGCCCGTCTTGATGTTCATCGCCTGCTCACGGGGCACCACCTGGAGATTGAGTATGGATACTTTGCCAGATGTATCCACTGCTTGTTCCATGGCCAGGGCCTGCTCTCTTGTCAGTGTGCTTCTCCTGGAATTGGGTATCTCCAGAACAAAGGGACGACCCTTGCCCAGGCAACGCACATCCACATCCTCCCTTCCGCTGGACATGAAGGTGATCTTTGGCACGGTCTCTGTGAAATGCGGTCCCACACTCCGTATGATAATCTCCTCGATGCTGTCCTCCATCTGCCGCACTCCTTGCAGCAGCCATGGGGTGTGGGAGAGCTCGCGGCTCAGCTTCCGGTACCGGCCTGCCACACAGACCATGGGACCCTGAAGATCCACGGACTTGAGACTGAGGGACTCGTCCACAGCTGGGGGCGGAATGGGCAAATACTTCTCGAACGTCTCCGCCTTCACACGTGACGGCTGGTATTGCTTCTCCAGCAATCCACGGGAGATTTCAACGCGTCTCAATGCCTTGCCGGGAAAGGCCGCACGATTCAGTTCCACCAGTTTGTCCACCTCTTCCTCCTCCACCTTGTGTCGCAGATCAATGCTGATCACCAGTCCATTGGCATCGTACTTCTTGTCCAGCTTTTTGCATATTATGGGATGTAGAATCAGCTTCACCGCCTCCTTGATGGGCACATCTGGCGGGGAATTGCTGTGAACAGTGGATCCAAACTTCCTCTGGAGGGCAAACCACATGGAGAGCTGTCGCAGCTGCAGGCTCATGGGCATTGTAATGGCCAAAACGATGCCCTCGCTATCATATTTGCCAAATTCCGAAGCGATGATGCCCTCGATCAGCTCCCGCTGAAAGTCCTCGGAGAAGATGCCCAAACAGGTTGAGCAGTGGGTTAGACGGGGCTTCTTGAGCGGCTGTTCGTCTGTGGAGATGACATTATCTTCATCCTCTACCTGATCTTCAGTCACTTTTACTCCCAGCTGTAGAAAAGTATACGTTTGAAATATTGTCTTGCCAGTAATGCCTATTTTTACTCACCCGCTGGAGAGATTTGTGGATATCATTGTACTCGGAACCGCGTGCCCTAAGATAACGTAACTGACAAACCTTGCAGACGCCACAGGACATCAAATAGTCCACGAGTTCTTGGTTTTTCATTTTGATTTAAACAAAACGTGGAGTGCGTCCGGTGCCGCTAAAAGCACTATCAGCTGTCGGGCGATTCAAACGTTAGCCAACACTAAGCGCTGGTCGGTTCAAGAAAAACACGGAAAGAAATTGTTTTCATTGCCAATTTATTGGAATTTAAGGTGCGTGGCGAGTCAATTTATAAGAAAATCCTACAAAAGAACGAATTAAATGAGCAAATTCACTATTTAAGTCTAATTGCAAGCCAAAGTGTGCCTTCTATGAGCTTTGTTATGGTTACGTCACAGAAGGAACAGACAAAATCTCCATACTGACTCTCATGGATATGTTTTTCTTTAATACGCAGGCAACATGTCTCTGACGCCCTTCCTGCGCCTGCCCCTCACGGATCTGACCGGCTGTCTGATCAACCATCAGACCTACGACAAATGTGGAAAATTTGAAATGAAAATGATGGACTGCTTGGAGGCCTACGGCCTGGAGCGCGGCAAAAAGGAGTGCGCCGATCTCATTGCGGACTTCCAGGAGTGCGTGGGCATGAACAAGCAACTCATGCGTTTCCATGTGGGTTTTCTTACGTCTAAGAAGCAAGGAATTGCTTAAAACTTCATTTTAAATCTCTGTTTTAGGCCATGAGGAACGAGCGCTATAAGCAGTGGCTGTTGGGAGAGCGTAAGAAGGCTGAACTCTTTGCTGAGGCACCGCGCGTAGATGCCTATTAAGAAAGGGAGCAATTTCGTGTATAACTTCATATGAATAGCCGCAAATTGTATAAAAAAAATAAATAAAATAAAACGAAATCTGTATCATCTGATTTGGACAGTCTGGCAACCCTCCCAATAGTTGAAGTGCTGTACAATGACGAATTCCAGAAATATTGAATTTTGACTCATTGAATAAAAAAATAATTAAATAATAATTGTAATAAAACTCTAATTCAATGCCAATTTTTTTATAATAGTTTAACAGAGAAAACTTGTAAAATAAATAATGGAAAATTAGTATCGCAGTCTGGCATCACTGGCTGACATCAAATTGTCATCTCTAGTTGTTTTTTTGCCGAAAAAATTTCTGCCTTCTACGAATTTTGTAATATTTCTGTATAAAATAAAATAAAATGGGCACTAAACGACCCCACAACAGTGTGGTACCAGCCCAGGAGACAAAGCGCAGTAAAAATGATATAATAGCATATACAAATCGGGATAAAGCGCTCTTGGAATCGGTAAGCGTGGTGGAAAGAAGAAGCATCAGGATTTCCCTATGGAAATTTGTTAAATTTGTTATTTTTCAGGGTGTAAGAAGAACATCCAATCTGCAGGCACCCATAATGCAATTGGAGGGACATGAGGGAGAGATCTTTACGACAGAATTCCATCCGGAAGGAGAACTTTTGCTGTCCTCTGGCTTCGATCGCCAGCTTTGTAAGAAAAACCCATCTAAAACCATGGGAAAAACACTACCAGTCAATTTTCATTTAATTTCCTAGATATTTGGCAAGTCTATGATGACTGTGAGAATGTAATGGCCATGTCCGGACACACTGGAGCCGTGATGGAAGCCCATTTTACCCCCGATGGCTCCCACATCTTCACCTGCTCCACAGACAAAACGCTGGCCATTTGGGATATAGTCACGGGCCAAAGATTGCGTCGTTTCAAGGGCCACACGAGCTTTGTGAACAGTGTCCAGGGCACGAGGAGGGGACAACAGCTGCTGTGCTCCGGCAGCGATGATCGGGGCATCAGGATTTGGGATGCCAGAAAAAAGCACGCCGTGCAGACCCTGGAGTCGCCATACCAGGTGACATCCGTGTGCTTTGGCGACACTGGAGAGCAGGTCATCACCGGCGGCATCGATAATGAGCTGAAGATCTGGGACATACGCAAGCAGGAGGTGCTGCACCATCTGCGCGGACACACGGACACCATCACGGGAATGTCCCTCTCGCCAGAAGGTGACTTTATCCTCACCAACTCCATGGATAACACCTTGAGGGTGTGGGATGTGCGTCCCTATGCCCCGGGCGAACGGTGTGTGAAGGTCTTTCAGGGACATCAGCACAATTTCGAAAAGAATCTGTTGCGATGTGCTTGGGCCCCAGGCAGCGATAAGGTCTCTGCTGGTTCCGCTGATCGGCAGGTCTATATTTGGGATGTGAACACAAGGAGGATACTGTACAAGCTCCCTGGACATAATGGCAGTGTAAACGATGTCGACTTCAGCCCCAAAGAGCCGCTTATACTCTCCGCCTCCAGCGATAAGACTTTGTATCTGGGAGAGATTGAGGAATGACACTACTTCGGAGACATTTGATGATTAATAAACCTTATAATGTCGATTCTTTTGTTTTAATTGTATCACAAATAAGTTTTGTTTTGGATTTATCGTAGGGCTAAATAAATTATTTCGTTGTGTGCGCGCGGGCTCTGCCACCGTTTCACACCGGCAAAGCACTGGTTGAGGCGGAGACGCTGCTCTTGAAGAGCTGTCCAAAGAATTTCAAGCCAGTGGCTCCACCCGGCACCATGCCCAGGACCATGAATAGCAAGGCAATGATCTGGGCTACGGCAAAGAGCACTGTAAAGGCTGTACTTTTGGCCACCAGAGCGCAGTAGAGGGTCAGCACCAGGCAGGAGCTGTAGGAGATCGATGAGAGCAGCCGCGGCTTGGAGAACATCTGCTTGAGGAAGGCCCCAAACCCAGAGAGAAAGCAGAAGGCCATGATAAAAAAGAGACTGCCTAATGTGTAAAGCAGGGCAAATTTCCGCGCTTTGAGGATCAGCACGGGAATGTAGAAGGTGGAGAGCGTCATGCAGAGTCCTCCCATACCCAGACACGCCACGAAGCCAACAATACGCTGCAGGCGGGACTAAAAAGAAAAGGGTTACGTTACACACTCTTTATATGCCATTTGCTGTAGGTTATAGACGGCTCACAAGCTTGGGGCAGCACGAGTCCTGTGTGTCCTTCAGCCAACTGTTGGCCTCCTGGGGCTCTGTCTGGCGCGAAAAGATGCCCCCCAGGCTGGGCACCTTCAGCTGTGGCATCTTTACATTGAAATTCTTCTTCTGATCGCTCTGCAGCAGCAGATATTCGTCCAAATCCTGTTTTAAATTGCTCATCGCGTGTCAAAAAACTTCTTCCAAAACAAAACAAAAGTGGGTTTCGGTGTGACGGCAGATATTTCGATCAAATATACGGTCTTACCCTCAGAAATATACCCAAAATATTACCGTAAATATACAAGTTCCATCATACATATTCCTCGTTTTTGATATTCCGTCGAATATTATTAGCTAGATAGAAAATTTTGCAATGCCCACATAGTTTTATACAATTGATGAATAAATTTTCTACTTAACTGGCTTATTCTAAATACTTGCTTTTATTTGATCTTGTCTAAAAATAGGTTTTAGTGAAATTGGTCAAACAAAAAAAGGATTTACCAAAATAGGTCACACTAAAAAACAAAAGAGTATTGTCGTTCATATTGTTCAATTTTTATATTCCCTTGAATAATTCTGGCTAACTAAAACTCTTAGTTCTGCCCACATAATTTTAGGCCGTTGATGAATAAATTTTCTTCAAGATTGGATAGTTTTTAGTCCTTGCTTTTATTGTATTTTGACTAAACCAAGGCTTAAACAAAATAGTTCAACAGTTCAGTCGCAATGTTGCTGATATTTGAAGTCTTGATGCGTGTATAGGCCTTGGTATACTCTATTTCGTTAATTCATGGAAATTATTAGTATCTTGTATATATGTACATATCTCCATCCTGATACCTATTGAATGAGCTTTAAAATGTCGTTGAAATAGGTTTAAAACAGAGACTAAAATTGGAGCCTGGGATGACAAACATTTTCGCAGTCCTATAACATCCATTTCCCCCAGGGTATGTGTGCATGGAATGGGACTCATTGTTGTCAACCGGTAATGACGACTAATTCCTGGTTATTCTTTCTTCCGTCGAATATTTTGCCCAGATAATTTTATATGATTGATGAATCAATTTTGATCAAGATTAACTACTTTTAAGTACTCCATTTTATTATATTGTGTGTGCGCAACGAAATTTGTTTTGAGTTGCGCGCCTTGGCCGCAGAAAGAATGCTAGAGACTTAGTTAGATCTAGCTTTTCTTGAAACTGGGCTTTGACTACATATATATGTGCCAAGGCAATAGCTCATTGAAAACTCACCCACAATTGGGTGCACTATGGACAATATGCAAAGAGCGCCTTCAACTCTTTGTTCACTGTATTTCCAACGTCATACACAAAAATTGTTCTCGAACACGGCCAACCACATTCCAATTTTCGTCGAGCACAACAAATTCGACGAAGAAGTTCGACTGTGTATACCCACCTTTAACAGAAATATCCACCGTGCTTTAAATATTAGTAAATTTAGTCCTTTTAAATTTAACGGCTCCCGTACCGATCTATTGCTAACGAAAATATCGATATAGCGCAATACATCGCTGTGCTGCACCACCGATAAAAACAACCTGAGAGAGCAGAACAGTGTTGGCCACTTCTTAGCCAAAAAATAGCTATAGTTTTTTAAAAAGATGGCCAACTTTTTTGTAACAACTAATTTATTAATATATTGTGGCATCATTGCATTTTGAAATATTTTAGGAAGAAAAGCAAACATGGCTAAATATGTAGTTGAAATAACCAGATTTCTGCCTAATTTGAAAGTTCAAGAAATCTACATTATATATAGCCAAAACAACTGTAAAATAGCTAGATTCCCAACGCCGGAGAGGAGAGCGGGACCGCAATGACCGAGTGGGGGAGATTGAGAGCAAGAAAAAGCGCCAACGCTGCAATGTAATTTTCAGTTTACTTTTGTTTTGGAGCTCTCTCGAGCAGCAGTTGATAAATTTTCGTTGGATCCCGTGCGCTCCATTTTGACCGTGCGCTGCCGTGTTCGTTACGGTATTTGAAAAATAGAAAACAGAATTAATCTAAAGCTTGCTTTGAGAATGTTGTTGAATGGAAATCGCACATATGTATATTTCCTAATGTCAAATTTCCGTTAATAAATTTACAGTTTTAAATTGAAAATAACCCAAAAAAAATACGATTTCCCCAAAATTAAGTGTTATGTTGTGTGGAGTGTGGTGTGGCTGCTGCTCCAATACAGATCCTGTGCATATCCATACATAGCCGTTGCGGGAAGCTAATAACAGTTTGGTGAGTCTCCTTCTTCCAATACGCCATGCCCACGTACTACGTTCCAATTAGAAACTGTGTAACTGTAAAAACCCCTGCCACCCATTCCCAGATAGAACCACGAAAATAGTCCAGAAATGGTTCCGTTCCCCCAAAAATTGATTACGCAGTACTACACATCCCATCCAAGTCTTCTTCGTCGCCAGTTCGGGTTTCTTTTTCAGTTTTGTGTTGGGTTTTTGTTGAAAAATGCGTTGGTTGCTTTTATTAATACAACACACACACACACACAGCCCACTGAGAGAGCGAGAGAGAGAGAGAGAGAAAGAGCGCCATATAAAAGCCGCAGAAGCGCAAGTGTAAATGAGAGGACGTTTGGAGCACGGAGAGCCGGAGAGAGCGGCTAAACCAGCTTTTCAGAGAGATGGAGCATGCGCAGTGGTAGGCAAGAGCGGCAATTGGCCGTGTTGTTTTTATACCCCGTACTCAGAATAATGTACAAAGGTAGATTACCATAGCCAGATTCGATGAGATCAATAAGATCAATCAATTTGAAGAAAATAATAGCTAGAAAAAGTGTATGTTTCCGCCTCTAAAACTAAGAAAAACAAGATCCAGTGGCACTTGTAGATGCTAGTATTCCATATGGCTCCACCGGACACTTGGTAATGGGCATATCTTTGTCGAATCACTCGACTTAATCGGTCTCTCTAGCTGGTTAGTGGGCGGGTGACGTTAGGGGGGGAGGTGGCTCTTGCAGGTGAATGCTGTTGCCGTTGTAATGTGGATTTGTTGTGGTATGTGCGCGCGGCAAAAATCGCTGGCCTGCCACGGCACCGCGTCCATATTCCCCAACTGAAAACTAACTTTGAAAACGTATAGCATCGTATTCAATCGCCAATGCATTGAAATTAAACAACTGCGGTAGCGGATTGTGTTTTTAAAAAGTTTTTATTTTACTTCGAACTTCACTGATATAGATTTAAGTAGAGGGTCACAAAGGAATTCCGGGCCAAGGGATTGCGCGATCTTAATATTTAGCTAGACTTTGCGGTGTCGCTGCTGGATCAAGACTGATTTGAACTTTCTGATCTTTGCATCGTTGATCCCTTTCGGGAATCGTTTTTCTATAAACATTTCAATTGATTTCGCCATCCCGAGTATTAGATTTCGTCATCCAAAGAGAGAACTGTAAAAGGCCTAAAGTGCAGGATCTGCAGAAAGCCGGGAGTGAGATTGTTTATGAGAAGCCGGGTGTGGGCAAACATTGGTTTTCCATTTAGGCGAGTGTCAAAGAATGGGATTGCGGCGGGGGCGCTTGAGATTGTACATCTTAGAAATCAATTAGGCGGAGGCCCAAGATTGAAATTGTTTTCGTTTTGGAAAACCAAAGATTGTTTACAACTCGTATAAGAGCTCAATGGAATTGGGTACGTTAACTCCCCCCATTCTTAAATGTTTCGTCCCGATACATTTTGAAGTTCTGATAGAGCTCTAATTTCTTCTGACAGTATTTGAATGTTGCTTTCCACTATTTCTTCTGACGGTATTCTTATTGATTTAATAAGTACAAATTTGGTTAATTTATAGCAGAAGTAAAATAACATTAACAATATCAAAATGATTAAAAATAATGTTGTTAATGGTAAGGCCGTATTACCTAATGTTATAAGGGGATTTAAAATATTAACATTATCAAAAGAAAATTGCTTATCATTTGATTGTATATAATCAACTAATTCAAAATCGCTATATCTATGATGCGATATATATTTTAGAATTTTACCCTTATCATTTATGTGGCTTATATTATTTATTACAATTGTGTTGTTGAATATAAGGAGATACGATCCTAACAAAGTAGTATTGTCTACGATATTTTTGCCTGAAACTAATATGGCACCATCCTGAATGATGTCTATTTCTTTGTTTTTTTTCCCTTTTTTTAGTGCAGTTGGCTTTAAAGCCATTAAGTAAATTGGTGAAACAGGTACTCTTTAAATTTATTTGTGCGTAATTGTTAAAAGTTTCACTTTTAAAATTATTCATTAAATAGTATTTCTCCTTACATTCACAAACTTTTTCACTTATAACTAACATTCCATCATTTTGTGAGATGGCTCTTGCATGGTAAAACTTGCAAATATCTTTAATTTGAGGATATTTTATGTAAATGATTATTAAATCTGCATTTCGAATTATTTTAACCGTTGCAATGTCCAACAGATCAGACAGTTCAACATTATGTTTTTCATGCTTATAAATGTCCTCTATTTCGTTTTTATTTAAAATTTTTGTATTGAAAATGTTTACTTTTAAGAGGGTTATGGTATCAACTAAATTTAGTAGGTCAAAAGTTATTAATTTTAAACGATGCTTTCTCAGTATCGTTTCTTCATTGAAGATGACATTCTTTAATGAATTTGATAGCAATTCAATTTCTTTGAAAAATTTGGAATTTATTACAAATTGTTTATTATTATTTTCAGTTAATTCATTTACTTTATTTTGTATTTTCAAAAAGTCGTCATGATCAGGGCTGCCTGCTATCCATTTCCAAATGGTACCTAATTCATTTATTCCCCTTTCTTTCCGTTTTGGAACTAATTCTGAAATCATTAATTTTAATAGACTTAAGTCCATTGATATTTCCCACTCATCGTCTGAATTAATTGATTTGTTGACATATTTGGATTCTTTATCAATTATCTCTCTATAAAAACTCAAATTAGTAATATGGAAAAGTTCAGCGTATGTTTCATAAGTGTAAACGTCTCTGTCGTCTTTGAGCAATAGATAGTCACTATGCGTATAGTCAATTACTTCCGCAGTCGTCAATATAACAAAAGTCAGTATTAGTATATTCGCATACATTTTCTGGAAAAAATATTTAATATTTGATGTTATCTTTATGTATAATTCTGTTTCTATTGTTGATTATAATTTTATTCGGTCGAT